CGGTTGGGCTTGCAGCACCGTGGGGAGTGAGCTTCTCGAGTTGGCCCACGGGCCGGGGGCTGCAGCTGGAGGGAGGCCAGCCCGGGATCCCCAACTTGTCGCCAGCCGCGGACCCTCCAGGCTCCACTCATTCATTGCACGAGGATGCAGGCTTTCTCCCTGCCGTGGAATTTGAAAACTCCGCTCCCCACCCCCATGTTTCCCGCCTCTACCCGTTTGCCCCCGCACACCAGACGGGTCTCTGGAGCGATTGTTGGGCTGGGGGCCCCAGTCCAGCCTCTTGGACGGTGTGCGCCGTACTGTGCGAGATGGACTTTTCGGTGCTCGTCCTCACGGAAGGCAGTTTGATGAGGGCGTGAGTTCCACCGGGTTTGGGGGCTCTTTTCCTGCTTGCTTTTATTTTTCGTGGTTCTGGGGTCTTGGGGGGCCCATTTCTTGTTACTTGGTAACAAGCGTTCATGTCTCAAGAGGTGTGAGAACCTGTCTTCGCCTGCCCTCCAAATCCTTTTAAGTTATTCTAATCTTGGAGAGGTCTCCGCGCTTTTTTCCTGAACGTGCATCTGAACAGGAAGTCAGCAAGGCTGACGGTATCGTTATCTTTCCAATGTGCCAGGCTCTGTCTTGAGCACTTTGCGTCCATGAAATTATTACTGTAATAATCATAACTGGCGCTTCTAAAGGGCTTACAGTGTGTCAAGCATTCTTTGAGCACTTAACACAGATTTCATATTCTCCCACCCATTGCAAGATATTTGCATTTTTTTTGTTGTTTTTGTTATTTTACAGAAGAAACTAAGATGAAGTCACTTAACCAAGGTCACACAGTTAGTGAGTTGAGTTTCAAACCCAGATAGCCGGGAGCTAGTAAAACTCGCTACAGACAACACTGAAGGAAGGGGGCCAGTGGTTTAGTAAAGGTTAATAGAAAGGTTTAAATTTCGGCTCATCTAAGACTGGTGAGGTGCCTGGCAATTGATTCATGTTGATGTGGGAGAGGGGCGAGGTTCAGCTTTTAAAGACGGAAGCTGAAATGAGCTGCTTTCAGATTCAAGGGCATGTCAACAGATGCTAACATCTTATCCAAGACTTTGTAAGAATTCAGTCATACCCCTTAACTTGGACACTTCATAATGGGAACTTGGCAGTTTTAACTGCTTTTTGCCTTTATATAGTCCTAAAATATTACTGGACTATAAATACTGTGAGTGGTGGAGTAGAGGGCATGGCAGCTCTAGTGTTAGAATTTGCAGATCTTTTAAAGTAAATTATTAAAATGAAACTCTGAAAATATCTCGTCCTTTTCTTAATCTGTGTCTTTAAAAAAAACACTAAATGTCATTAAGGACCCCTGAAATGCTCTTGAAATGTTATTGCAGGTGAAAACCTTGTGTTGTAGGTGAAAACCTTGTCATTCCTTTAATGTCAGGTATTTATATAAGAACCATATTTTTTCATGCTAGTTAATATAGTTCTTTATTTGAGGCAGCAGTTGGTCAGAAACTGATTAAAATAGTTTGCTGTAAGAAAAGAATTTTTTGTTAAATATTTTCTTTCTAAATTTTAAAATTCTGCTTATCTCTGCAGGGATATGTGTGGCTTTATTTCTCTGAGGAAACAGGAAAAGTTGGAATTTGCATGGATTAGAAACATTAGAATTTTAAATCTAATTAAATTAGAATTTGAAGATCATCTAAGGCTTGCTAATTTAAGTTCTGGTTTGCCCATAACTGGCTCTGTATTCATAAATAGCTTTTGTTAATTTTAATCATTACAATCCTAATAAGTAGTTTGCCTAGTAAATAATGATACATCTAAAATGAGATTGTTTCTTAATAGTTCCTCTTGTTATATGGCACTTGAAAACCAGGTTTTCTTATATTTCTTTTTTTGCTGAAATTAATGAAGCAGTGCATTTTAATGCCTTGGGAATAGGCTAACTGCAAAGTATACTTAAATTTCCTTTTTTCTCGTGGGTGTTAAATTGGCAGAGAAACATTTGAAGATGATCCATTGAGGATATGTAGATATCTAAGTTAAATGATGTTGGTAATAAATTCTGTGCTTTACAAGTTTTTTATTTTAAAAAAATTAAATGTAATAATTTAAAATAGAAATGAGAGTCTCACTGTGTTGCCCAGGCTGTTCTCAAACTCCTGGTTTCAAGCAATCCTCCCACCTCGGCCTCCCTGAGTTCTGGGGTTATAGTCATGAGCCACCATGCCTGGCCTGAATTTTGTGCTTTTCGTAATGCCCCCAAAACCTTTTTTTTTTTCCCCTTAAATGCTTTAAGATGTAAGTATATCTGAAAGTAGAGGCAATATGACTTTTGTGACCTTGGTAGACTTTTTTACGTGTTCAGATTGATCTTTTAAGCTTGAGAGCAGTATAAGCTAGTTGAGAAGTAGCTCAGTAATAGTACTAAAAAGCTAACTGAAAAGTGAAGTCTTAAGAAAAACAGCATGTTGGTTTAGATCTTAGTCACTAACTTTGCAGTTCTTTTCTTTTCTGAACTCCTGAATGTTTCTGTAAGTAATGGCATCACCTCTGCAACCCACCATGGATGCTTTTATCCAAACTCTGCCTTGCTGATGATAAAACCTTAAGGTTGTTAACTCCTTAGTGTAACGGACAGTAAAACGGCATTTTGAGAGAAAATAAGCCAGCTGTTGATTTGGTCTGATGTATTGAAGAAAAGTGGGATTTGGGGCAGTTTTACTTTGTAAATGACCTCCTTCAAGGAGCCATGGAGGCTAGCATTTTTCTTGCACAGCAGGTGGTTGTAATACTTCACATCTTGGTTTGCAAGAAGCATCTTTGCTTTGAAGAAGGCCATTGTCAAACTGCAAGACCATGTCAGGTTCTGCAGAATTGCCTGACTTGTTTTATTGGTTTAAATACGACCTCTGCCCTGGCTCACAGAAAGTGCTTACACATTTAATCCTCTGATATATAAGGGTTGTTCTGAAGGTAGGGAGTGTTCAGATATTCTGAAACTCTAAGATTGTTTAAATAACCTATGTGTTCAACTTTTTGGTGCAGTATAAAATGTTCATATTCTGATGGTTAGCCGTCCCTGGTCCTAAAGATAATAAAGGACAAACATAATGGTTTACAAAGGGGAAGCTTTCTTAATATGCTAACCAAAAAAACAAAAGTAATCTTTCCTAATGAACATCTGTAATTATTTAATTTTTTATTTTATTTTGGAGACAGTCTCACTCTGTCACCCAGGCTGGAGTGGAATCCTGGCTCACTGCAACCTCCACCTCCTAGGTTCAAGCGATTCTCGTACCTCAGCCTCCCAAGTAGCTGGGATTAACAGGCACACACCACCACGTGCAGCTAAGTTTTTGTATTTTTAGTAGAGACAAGGTTTCTCCGTGTTGACCAGGCTGGTCTCGAACTTGTGACCTCAAGTGATCTGCCCACCTCAGACTCCCGAAGTGCTGGGATTACAGGCATGAGCCATGGTGCCCAGCCTGTAATTATTTGTTTACAGAAAAGGTAATTTTTACACTCACATCCAAGTTACCAATTTCTAATTCCCTCATTGATAAGAACTCTGGTGTTAGCCCTTGCCCTTCCTTCCCATCAGCATGTTGGTTGTATGCCCATTTCCTCTCCTAGGCAAGGCAGGAAAGCTCTGTTGGAGACAGGTGATCTGCAGCTTGCAGGAGTTCTTTGTTAAATCACAGCATTGAAAAAGGATTACTCTCCTTGTGCCTGCAGTGCCCTCTTGCCTGTCAGTAGCAGGACGCAGCAGTGAAATCTGACAGAATTGTGTGTGACATTGTTGTGCTTGGGGGGGGATGTGACACGCAGGAGCAGAGCCCTGGGCATTCCTCCTCAGAACTGGGCAAATGGACATGAAGTTGTGGCCCAGCAGTGGTCAGCTGTGGAAATTAGTGAGGTGATTTGATGTCTTTGAAAGCACAGTCCTATTATAACCTGTAACCTGTTGTGCAGAATCACAGTACCAGTCAGCCCACTTGACTAGGTGAGGATCTCTGATTGTGAAGCAGGGAAATTATTGGTATTATGTGGACTTCACCATTTAACTTAATTTACAATCGAGGCCATTAGTTGACCTTAGAGATTGAAATATGAAGGAGATAATATTCTGGGTGTCAGTCGCTTTGTTGATAAAGAACTGGAAAGTCATTCAAGACCAAGAAGGAAAGATTTCATTTCCATGGAGCTTATGGAATTCCAGGACAGAGTTTGAGTTTACATTTTAAGGTCATACCTCTGTATCCAAAGCATCAAAAACAGATGATTTATTTATGGATCTTGGTGATTTGTCTGAACTCTCCAGCTTCCCCACTTCACTGGGGTTTACTGTCATCCCTCTTCTAGAAGGGAGTGGTTGTCACCGACAGTAAAGCTTACAGCAAATGAAAACTCAAAATGTAGGGTCAGATGTAGAGTCTACTCAGTGGTATATTACCAAAATGTGTTCTTAGACTGTGGAAAATTGAAGTTTTTAATGGATTGGCTTTACTCTAGGTGTAGAAAACTCAAGATGCTTTATTGAGAACAGTGAACAGTGTTCTGCAGCTATATCCTATCTGTCTTGAAAAAAATGGTGTCACTTTTATTTATTTTTTACTGGGTCTCACTCTGTCCCCAGGCTGGAGACCTGAACTCCTGGGTTCAAGCGATTCTTCCTTCTCATCCTCCTGGCTAGTTGAATCTGCAGGCACACACCACCACACCTGGCTAACTTTTTTTTTCTTTTTCTTTTTTTCTTAAAGACGGGTGTTGTCTAGGCTGTTCTTGAACGCCTGGCCACAAGGGAGGCCTCAGCCTCCCAAAGTGCTGGGATTACAGGCGTGAGCCACAGCTCCCTGCCTTAGTGTCACTTTTCAATGCCCGAAGTATAACCCCATCAGTTAGGAAAGTCAGGATGGGGAGAGGGCAGGGTGTGGAAACAATTGTGATAATCAGAATGTGGAAGTCTTCCTGCTGGTGACTTTGCAGAGAAACTAAAGGATTCTTTTTTTTTTTTTTTTTTTTTTTTAACTTTTGTCACCCAGGCTGAAGTACAGTGGCAAGATCTTGGCTCACTGCAGCCTCCGCCACCCGAGTTCAAGCGATTCTTCTGCTTCAACCTCAGTTGTTGAGTAGCTGGGACTACAGGCACGTGCCACTATGCCCTGCTAATTTTTGTATTTTTAGTAAAGATGGGGTTTTACCATGTTGGCCAGGCTGGTCTCGAACTCCTGACCTCAGCTGATCCACCCACCTCGGCCTCCCAAAGTGCTGGGATTACAGGCATTAGACACCATGCCCGGCCCAAAGGATTCTTGATATACTTTTTGCAGGAAAGAACTCAGTTGTTTATGGGAATGCTTAATGTTGGAAATATTTACTTTTTGTTTTGATTTGAGTCTTATTTTCCTAAATCTGTCAAATATCATGAGGCTATTGATTCACTGAAATGAATATGATGTGGCATATTGTTAAAATTATCACCTACTTTTTAACAGGATTATTTTAAAACAGCAAAATCTTCGTTGACTTATTTTTATACCACTCGTGCCTTTCTTGGGTTCTGAAACTTCATTAGAATTCAGCTAGGGCTTTT